CAAGTACGTAAAGGCCCCCGAGATATATTCAACCCCAAGAGCATAGAGGAAGAGATAAGTATGTGGCCCGAATGGGTCTTCAGCTTCAAGAACTTCATGGCCATACAAGATGATGAATACAGGGGTGACTTTGCCAAGGCAGAGACGTCAACAGAGTTTTTGGCGTTTGAGGATTATGGCCTGCCATCAGAGCGAGATCGCTGCGGCTATACTCCATCCTTGCATCTTATTTGAAAGGGCGAGATTTAAAAATTCTTCGCGCAGAACCAAAAGGAGACGGATTCAGAGTATGGCGCCAATTGAAGGAAGAACTACAACCAACTTCGCGCCCGCGCGTGCTTGCGCTTGCGCAGGCGCTCACGCGCTTTCCACCCTTGAAAGAGGGGTCAGGCTCACGAAGTGAAAGGACCGACTGTTCAGTTGACCCGAGGCGGCCTGCCTGGCGTTCGTTCTCCTCGATGGTTTTCAGGCAAAAGAGGAGGATCGTGTTGTTAAAGGCCTTCCAGATACCGCCCGACAACGGCATGATAAGCTGTTGAGGTCCTGCGGAAGGTGCGGATTTTTAGTATAGATGTCCTGCTGCGAACACCGCCAAATCAGCTCATTGGATGCCAGATGCCATCGAAGCTGGGTCTTGGCCCACTTTTTATTGTAATTGACACAGTCCCCGGTCTTGGGTTCCTCGGCACTGAACATCAGTTGCAGGAGCTGCCGAATAGCCGAGAGCGCAACATCCCGAGTCAACCACAGGTGCCATTCTCCGGCTCACTGTTATCTTCGATCTCAGCAAGCCCCTGTTGCTGCAGAAAAGACCAGAGCAACGAAAGCTTGGCGCCTTTGGACTTGAATCTGTCAAAGTCCCGCACATTATCACGAATCGGCAACTTCTGCACCATGGCCTCTGCAATGGTGACTGCATGGACTGCCATTACAACAAAACGCACGGACTTTTGTGCACACACTTTGAGTAGCAAGCTGCATCCTCATCATGGCTGCTCTGTGGCACTGGTCCTTGGGCCACGCTTGTAGACGAACTTGCTGCACCGCTTCGTTCAACTCGGGGACGACCAAGAAGCTCAACCTCAAACCAAGCATGGATGCGGTCCCTGAGCTGGTTCTGGTTCTCACCTTGTTCCAACGGCTCCTCAAGATCATGATGCCTTCGACTCCACCGCCGGGGTGGCATACTCCCAAGCAGCGCAAACATCAACACCATCAACACCACGAAGATGAAAACATCACCATGGTCACGAAGTTGTTGCGCGAACTTGCCGCGGGCCTCCATCGCCATGTCACTCGAGGCGCTTGCCGAAATCACCGCAACAATCATAATCATCCAAACTTGGTTCCACACACCATGGTCACTGAAGAGCATCGCGAGCTTCCAAGCACCCACCAAGCCGCAGATCATCATCATGAAAAGGACAATCCACACTCTGCTAAACCATTCTCGCGAAGCTTCTTGTACACTAGCTGCTTCACCCCCCTCAATGATCACAGCCAGCGCTCGCATCACAGCGGCAACTCCAAACCCTGGGGTAGAAGCGAACCTTGTCCTCACCCGCTGAACACGAACATGCTCGGGCTCGTCATCACCATCCAAGCTCATGCCAATCAAGCTCATGAGGTACTTTAATCGATTCCTACCATGGGGCTTCGTTTGAAGGTCAGCTGGGGCATCTTTTGTTGCAAAGGGCTTTGTGGTGAAAACGCCGTCATGATGTGCTTTCTGAATCCACAGCCGCGCCAAACTAACATGTCGAGTTCTCTGGAAACCCTGCTTCTGAATGATAGCCCTCGCTGCTGAGTTGTCAACGTAATTCACAAGCTTCACCCGCGAGTTGGGCCCGCAAATAAAACGGATCATCTCAGCAAGGAACATCGCCTTTGTCATACCAAGGAGCGATGCCATGAGCTCGCTCTCCGCCGAGGAGAGGCTGATCACTTTCTGTACCTTGTCTCCAGCATGGCATATGTTACCGTTCACAAAGATGCAATACGAGGACATAGAACGTCTCTGCTGGAATACTTTACTTCCCCAATCTGCATCTGTCACGACTTCAACGAGGTGGTCTAGGCCGAAGGGGTACTGCTTGGGGTCCCAATCTTCTGGCTCACAATCACGGCCTTCCCACTTCTGAAACAAGCTGCGCCCTGGGTTGCAACGATCAAGTCTCACAGGAACTACAGGGTGCAACTTCACGTACTTTACCAGGTGCCTCAAGAGACCAAAGTCGGTTTCCGTGGGTTCACTGCAACGCGAAGAGAGAACTTTCACACCATACTGTAGATCGGGGCACTCACTACTCATATACAACAAAATCCCAATGCACTGGCGATAGAGGGCATGCATTTCGGCGCTCAGACGCTCACCCAAACCGGGTTCTGGGATTTGCTGGGGCATTGGGGTCTTCTTCACGTTGGCTTTCTCCAAACCCAAAAGACCAACCAACCGCTCAGCATACTTCACATCCTGGGTGACAGTGAGGCCCCTTTCGTCCGATTCAAACTTGCGCTTAAGGAAGTGCGAGATCCCCCCATTCACGTCAACCGGGCCATCGATCTTCACCTTCAGCCCTTTGTCCTTCAATTTATTCGCCAATGCCATTGGAGCACCCTTCACGCCAAGGATCTGCATGTCATCTACATGGCTGTTCAGGGCAACCTGCTGGGGAATTGCAAAGACTGCTGGGTTTCCTTTGAACGTTTCCATACCCCCCTCAGCCAGCGTAGCTGCTAGGTAATCATACCAATCACGCGAACCAGCGCGTTGCCCTGGAAGGGTATACAAGAGCTCAAGATCACCAATGGGGGTCTGGATATACGTAGGACGTCTCTGCTTTACTTGCAAGTAGGCGTCGGTGACGTCGAGCGACACCAACTCCAGCTGCTGGCTGGACGCGAACATGCATCCAAGGAGCTTGTGGCTGCAAGCCACAGAGGCCGGACTATAAAAGGTCAGTTACAGCACGCTCCAAGAACTTGTATTCCTTGGCAACTAATCGGGTCCAACCGCTCCTAAACCTCCAGTCCAGTACGTACTTGCACTGCAACTTGACCTTCCAACTTGACCTTCCCTTCACGAGCTTCAGGAGCCATTCCGGCCAAGACGCCCATGTCCAGCAAGCGGCTGATCTCCTTCTCCTTCATCTGCTCATCCAGACAAGCTCCTCGGGATCAAGCTCTGGGGGCCCTAGCTCGTAAGGCCTACCACTCCACGGCATCCCGGCATCACCGGGAACAGCACCAGCACTTTCTTCAAACACCTCTTCCTCGCTCACACAGGATCTCATCTTCAACGGGCATGTTTCCTATCTCTTCTTCTGGATCACAATCTACGAAATCATCCTCATGCCCATGAGGTTGTTCAGGATCAAGCACCCGAAGCACAAACGGCACGAAACTCTCGCGGTCCACTGCTTCAACTTTGTCAACTTGCGTTGCGTCCGGAATCAACTCAGAGGACCCTGAGCTGGAACCCTGGGCTTCCATCCAAAGTATCTATAACGCTCATCCCAGGAGAATGCGAAGCTTGCGGGGTGGAAGTAGGAGGATCACTAGCTGCTTCATCCCCGGGAGGCTCGGCTCCACCGAGCGCAGGAGCAGCAACAACAGGCACGCGTCCTAGGGCACCTCGACCCTTGGTCCTGGCAGCCACCACATCCAAAGTAGCATTCCAAGGGACGCCCTTCATGGCGACGATCATGTTTGCTTGGTAAACCTGAGCTGCGCGACGGATCGTACGAGCATAGTGCACTCCACTCGCATTGGCCACTATACTCAGGTCACCTAATGACGACTTGCCCAAGTACACTGCCTTCTCCCACGCAACACCTTTCACCTTCTTCTTCGGCACAAACTGACAAAACACAGTGGACCCGAA